CAGTATTACTCAGGAGGACGTGATGGGTTGAGAGTGGGGGTGGGGGTGTGAGAGCTTCGGATCCCCGCACTGTAGTCAGGCTTCCTATCATGCAGATCAGCCAGGACCCAATCTAGTGACTCCATGGTCTGCTTCAGCCCTGTAGGCCTGCACCTTGCTGAGAAGCCATTTGTAGCTGTCTTGAAACCTTTATGGAGCTCCCTCTTGTTTTATTTCTTGTAGCTTTTTGAGCATCTTTCCTATGGTGCCTACTTGTGCTCCCTGGCCCACTGCTAGGCCCTCCAGCCGCGTGCTCTTGTTTTTCTGGTCTTCTTGTCTCCACGGGGCACTGAAGTGTATGATCAGCAACCCTGGACCACCTAGGGTGCTAGGTGAGCTATTTTGCTCCATCTTTTCCCAGATACTCCCACTTCCTCGCCTCCTTATCTTTTCTGCCCACAAATATATGCAGAATTTGTTGTTTTGAAAAAGTGTTCTCTGGCTCTGCTACCCCCACTTGTGATAGCATCTCTCTTTCCTTCCACTGGCAAACTTCTCAGAAAAGCGTGTATTTGTGGACTGTAGTTTCTTGCCTCCCTCAGATTCCAGCCGATGACTTACATTGTAATCTGGCATCAGGCCCTATTACAAATGAAAAAATTGCTCCCCAAAGCCACCAAATGAGCTAATTTCTAGATCAATTGTTTTTTTCTCACTAGGTTTGATCATCTCTGCTTTTTGTCTCCTAAAGCTTGAAAAACATTTTATTCTTGGACTTTTATCTGGTATTCCTCTGGTTTTGTTTTTGGCTTCCTTTCTTGCTCTCTCTGCCCTCCAGGTACAGACACACCAGAGCTGAGTACTTTGCTTTTAGTGATTTCTCTTTGGCTCCCTTCATTTAATCCAATATTCTGGTATCAAAATTTTTGGCCCAAATCCTCAATTTGTAATTGCCTCTTGAGCTTTGATTCTTTATCTCCGTTTATATTTTTTACAGTTCAAATTCAACCTATGTAACATTCATCTTTTGCACAAATTATACATCCTGATATACTTAAATATAGAATCCTATCATTTTTAATTTTAGCTAAGCTCAAAGCATTTAAATAATTTTTAAGCTTCCCTTCTAACCTTCCATTGGTCTTCTTTTATATTGCCTTGTATCTTTCCTTTCTTTTTCTTTAGGTTTTTTACTATGCTAGCCATAAAGCTTCTTTAATTCGTTATTTAGGTTCCTGGAGTGTCTTTCACAGTGGTCTTCCAGATTCCAGTAACCTCCTTGTGTTACTGCCAAATCAATGGACTTCCAAGTTAATAAATTAAATACTGATTAAATTAATGGATTAAAAGAAGTTGGGTCATCTTGCTGGTTGCCCTCATAGCTCCATTGCTCCACTTTAGATCTTGGGATGTAAATCACATTTTATTTTTTGTTTCACTTGCAAATAAGCAGAATAAAGACTCTTGTGACTCTGAATGGCTTCCTGTTGAGTACTTAGCTCTTCACAGGACTACACCAGATATTTCATGGTTCTGAAAACCTCTGCGAGGGGCTGGGAATATAGCTCAGTAGTATAAACTCCTGTCCAGCAAGCACAAGGTCCTGAGTTTGGTTCCTGGTAGCCTCCCCACCCCCACCAAAAAAAAAAAAAAAAAAAAAAAAAACAAAAAAAAAAAACCAAAACCCTGTGGAATGAAGCATTTGCTGGGTCAGAGAAGTTTGGAACCCCAGTGCCACTTCTCTTTCATTCCTTTTGGACTTGTCAGAATCACACTAGGGGAAAAGAGATAGGATGAGACCCTTAAAGCCCCTTTATAATCTCATCTCAACCTCTCAGTTCTCTTATTTCCTAGGGCAGATAAACATTCCTTGCTGTGCCACAAATACTTTAGGAACCTTTTTTCTTTGATGCATTGTGTCCTCTGATTCCATGCCTCCAGGGGTCCTTGCAAGTGTTACTCTTTAACTCCAAACTTCTTGTTTGTGTTGAGACAGGGTCTCACTGTATAGTTCAGGGTGGTCATGAATACACTATGTAGCCCAGGCTGGCCTCATCCAGGAAACTTTCCCAACAGACTGAAGTTAGGGTAATTTCTCTAAAAAGTGTGCTTGACTTCTAATAAAACAAACTAAACTTTATTGTCACCTTTGTCCTAATTTCCTACTCTGTATTGCCTTTTTGGGCGGTGATTGTCATCTCCGAAAGTCTACAAGTATCTCCCAGTTTTCTAGCTAATAGTTGCTGCTCAATGAAACTGCTGCTGGTTATAGAAACAGGATCCCACGGAGGGTGAATGTCTGTGGCTGGTGAACGGAAAACTCATGAGTTTGGTACCCTACTTGGATTCATAGGAATTAGCGAATATCCTTCTGCCCCTTTGGTGGTGGAGGTCTCCTATGGTCCCGAAGTCAAGTAGGAAAAAAATCAAAGGGACCAGATGAAGGAATGTGGCCTACAGAGGAAAAAATAATCAGATTGTTGCTCACTATTAGATTGTTGTTAAAATTCATCACTGGGCAGAGTCGGTAAACAAATTTAAAGTGCCTTTTGGGGGGATGCAGCAATAACTTCACCTTTATATTCAAAGTACAGGAAAGAATTAATCTCGTAAGTATGGAGGAATAAAGCGTTTGAAGCCACATTGTTAGATGTGTTGAGTGGTTGTAAAAAGTAACAACCAAAATGAAACCAAACACATCAGAAACAGCAGTAGCAGCTACTTCTGCTTTAGGAATCCAGAACTTAATAACCATGAACAGAACTTGATAAACAGAGTTCTAGAGTAAAGTTTAATCATCATGGGATCTTTTGGTTGGGTTAAATTGACTGTCATCTTGGAAATCTACAAATGCTCTGAGCTTGGATGTTGATCTTAGGAGATGCGTTTGCTTTATGTCCCACTCAGATGAATTTCAGATGTGGAGCATTTAATCTTGATCCTGCTTTGTAATCACTGCTTTAAAAGAAACTTCCTCTTTTTTATCTTTTACTATTGGTTAAATAAAAATAGCAGTAGATACAATCTGCCCTGAGCAAACAGACCATACATCAATAAGCAAATACTTAGTCTAAGCCATTTTCCATGAGACTCATGAAGCATTTCTAATTGAAATTTAACAAGCTTCCACCCAGCAAGCCCTCATCTGCAGCTGTAAAAGGAAAAGTGAATGCTGTACGCAAGACATAGAAGCTTTTTAATTCAGTGGGAATAGAGGATGACTGCGGAGTTATGTGGTGTAATTTTTCAAATCGCTGACATGTCACTGTTTGTTATTTCACGTTTATTAAAAACACAAATACCACATTTAACAATAGTAATGTCTGTTCTAGTTTGACAATTTAATTTTACTAATCATGATAATATATGCTAGCTGGAGTTGGGCATATTTAATACTGGAATGAAGTTTTTATGCTTACATTTCAAGGGTTTTTTTAAAGAGTACATTTATCTGCAATATTCAACACTTTATTGACTTTTGATTTGTATGAGACTGCAGGGAAGATTACTGGAGAATATATGTGTCTTTCTGAGATGAATCATTCAACACATGTGTGGGTGTGCTAGGCCTGAGTTATAACTTACTGAAGAAAGAGGTAAAAATATTAGCAAGACCTTTCCTTTGTCTGAACTTTGAGTCATCTTTGTTTACTATTTTTCTTTGGAGCTTAATGATTGTCTGCAAGAGCAGGGCAGACAGCCCACCCTCATTTTATAGATGAAGAAACTGAAGCTTGGAGACATTATTCTGCTTGAAATCAAGGAAGATAGAGCCCAGGTCTTCTACTTGTCATCAAATGTGTATCATGTAGGCAACATCACACAGTCAGTGCCCATCCTGGCTCCTGACTTCCGTTCAAAGGACTGTAGAACACGTAGGAAAGTCACGGTTGTCAGGGATGGGTGCTGGGTTGAGCTAAAATCATCCCTCCTGTTTCCCTCCACAGTTGAGGAGGTAAATGAAGGACCCAGGAACCTTTGGTAGCAGCACTTTGCACGGGTAAGTTACTTGCCAAGTGAGAGCTGAAAGCTTAACACGTGATTATTCATAAAGTGGGGGCAACGAGATAATACAAGTGAGTGCAACACACTCCGACCCGGAAACCTCAGTAGCTTTTTTTCATTTATCTAGAAAAATCAACTGTAAAGTTCACCGGGAAATTCTGAGAACTCAAAGTACTGGCGTGAAATAGTTTTAGGACAGAAGAAAAGAGAAGTGAAGTTTCCCAGCACTCGGGAGGCTGAGGCAGGAAGATCCTTGCGAGTTTGAGACCAGCTTGGACTACAAAGTGAGCTCAAGGCCAGCCAGAACTGCATAGTAGTGAGACCCTGCAGAGAGAGAGAGAGAGAGAGAGAGAGAGAGAGAGAGAGAGACAGAGAGAGAGACAGAGAGACAGAGAGAGAGACAGAGCAGAAACAGAGACACAGACCGAAGTCCTAACACACCCCCATAAAAGTGTCTTCCTCTCTGCAGATGGAGGTTGAGGACCTGACATTCCTCTCCTGAGCTGTTGGCGTGCTCAGCTCCAAGAGCACCCGATTGCGGGCAAACCTGCAGAGAACCGTCTCTCAGCACATGGCAAAGTTCCAAAGTGGCTTTCCCGACCCGGTCCCCCCCACCCCCACTGTTTCAGCCATCCTGATCAGTTCTAGAAACGTCCACTGAAGCTTTCCGGCCTCCCAGCGGGATCAAAGTGAAGCAGGTGCTGCCCGGCGGGCGGTCCCGGGGCCCCAGACCCCGCGCCAGCGCCGGGAGAGGCGGGCCGCTGCCTCCCGTCCGCGCGGCACCCCGGCCCGCGGCTTCACCCGGGAGGCTCCGCAGCGGCAGGGGGCAGGCGGCGCGGCGCGTCCGCGCGTCGCCAGGTTACCCCGCACGGCTCCCACGCGCGCGGGGCGCAGGTGCCGCCTCCCCGACGTCCGCGCCGGCGCGGGGAGGCGCCTGCCGCGCGGGGCCCGGATCGCCCGCGCCCCTGGGGAGCGGGTGGGCGGGGGCGCGGCGGGCGCGGGCATAAAGGGGCGCGGCGGGGCCGGCGCCCGCTCCGCGCAGCATGTCCGCCCGCGCCCCTCCGCGCCGCCCGCGGCCGCCGCCGCTGCCGCTGCCGCTGCTGCTGCTGGCCCTGGGCGGCCGCTGCCTGCGCGCGGAGCCCGGCGACGGCGCGCAGACCTGGGCCCGCTTCGCGCGCGCCCCGGGCCCCGAGGCCGCCGGCCTCCTCCACGACACGTTCCCCGACGGCTTCCGCTGGGCCGTGGGCAGCGCCGCCTACCAGACCGAGGGCGGCTGGCGGCAGCACGGCAAGGGCGCGTCCATCTGGGACACCTTCACCCACCGGGCCCCGGCCGCCCCGTCGCCGGCCGCCCCGGCCACCGGAGACGTGGCCAGCGACGGCTACAACAACGTCTTCCGCGACACCGAGGGGCTGCGCGAGCTGGGGGTCACTCACTACCGCTTCTCGATCTCGTGGGCGCGGGTGTTCCCCAACGGCAGCGCGGGCGCCCCCAACCGCGAGGGCCTGCGCTACTACCGGCGCCTGCTGGAGCGGCTGCGGGAGCTGGGCGTGCAGCCCGTGGTCACCCTGTACCACTGGGACCTGCCCCAGCGCCTGCAGGACGTCTACGGCGGCTGGGCCAACCGTGCCCTGGCCGAGCACTTCAGGGATTATGCCGAGCTCTGCTTCCGCCACTTTGGCAGCCAAGTCAAATACTGGATCACCATCGACAACCCCTACGTGGTGGCCTGGCACGGCTACGCCACCGGGCGCCTGGCCCCGGGAGTCCGGGGCACCTCGCGCCTCGGGTACCTGGTGGCGCACAACCTTCTTCTGGTGAGTGCGAGGGGCCAGGCAGAGGGCCACCCTGGGGAGAGAGAGGACCTCAGAGGCGCCTACCAGGGGCTAGAGGAGCCCTGCATCTCTGCCTCACACGAGGCCTCCCTGGAACACATTGGTGGGGTCACCTAGGACCCCCGCTTCGCTGGGGACCCAGCAGCCCGGGCTTCCCTGGGAAGACGTGAAGTTAGGAGCCAGAAGGAAGTTCAGTCACTTGGATGGCAGTTATGAGAGGAAATCGGAATCAGTTTCCCCAGTGAGGAGAAGGAACTTCTCCCCCTCTGGATGTTGAGGAATTCCTAGAGGCGTGGGTGGCTGTAGGGAGAAAATGAGGGAGCTGAAAGAAAGAAACCAGTTTGTTGGAAAGCCCATTGTGTTGATCCAGTAAGACCTGTCTTGCTTGGGGGCACAAGGTCAAGGTTGAGCTGCACCAAATTCAAAGATGTCACAAACTCCAGCGCCTGTGGGTCTGGTTTACGCAGCGCTTGGGCTTGGAGGTGATTCCTGCGGCAGAATTCAAAACTATTTCCACCAACTTTACCTAACCAGCGGTCTGCAGATTACCCAGTCCTGATGCTAGGCATATAAATAGCGGATCTGCAGCATGTATATTTTCACATTCTCTAGTGAAAAGGTTCCCCAATGATGAAGATTATTAGCATGGCACAAGTACTTTTAACACCCTTGTGAAAAGATACCAAAATTTTGACAGCAGGAAATACTGGGGTGTCAAGATAAAAGTGTCTCTTGGTTAATGTCTTCTCCCTTTTTTTTTTTTTTTTTTTTGCTTATGTTTAAACCCCCAATGGTTTAGGATTTATTTATAAATATCAGTTACTGGTACACTTTTTGTCGTGTTTTGTATCATGATAGAATATTTTATATACGTGTAAAAGCAGTTTAATAAAAGTGTTTAGATGTTTACTTTTCAGCACCCTATTTTGGAGACTTGTGAACTTACTACAAGTCATTTTAAAATTTAGTGTCATGATGCATATTCAAGATTAACACCGGTTCTAACCACTTATAATTAAAGTTGTAGATGACTGAGGAATAGCAGTGCTGGGCTTTTGAGTTGATTCAGAGCCCTGAGCTGTTGTAACGCAATAAGGCTAAACCTTCACAAAACCCCTTGGCTGCCATTAGTCACACAAGAATGTTGAATTTGTTAGACAAATTGTGATTTTAGTGACTTCATAGTGGTATATATCTTTTCATCAGTACGTTCTAGCAATAACTGTGGAACTTTTTTAGTCCGGGAAATCTTTTCAGGGAACCTATAAACCCTAAATATTCTCAGTGGCAGGTAGTAGAAAACTATGGGACGAACCACCTTAACTTTGAAGGTTCAGTTCATACTAGAAACAAGAGACTCATGGACCAGCTGGTGGTTCTGAGAAACCATCCCTGTAAAATCACTGCTTGAGATTTAAATCACACAGTTCTGCTTTTAGTGTGTACAGTAGGCATGCACCCAGAAGTAGTCAATTGTCTTTATAGTGAGAAATGGCCATTTCATTTTCTAACATAAGGTATTGCATGAAACTCTGTTACTTTGGTATTTTAAATCACACTTTAGATTCATTATCCACTCTTGGTCTTGTGGTTAACCTTTCAGTTCTAGTTTTGAGAAATTACACAAGAAATCTGCCAAGCACTAACCACTCTTTCTAGAAATACAGTGGACTTTGTATTCGTAAGAAATTAGTGACTGGTGTGTACTTGCCTTGGTTTTGCTGATGTTGCACACAAAATGTTAGTTGCTGTAAAATATTAATTTTGCTTTCCAATTTCTTTGGATTTGGAATTTAGTCATTTTTGTTTGTTATTTAAAGTTGCCATTATCTAAAGCTGTATCTTAAATTCATTTTGCTGGATAAGATTCTTTCATTCTCTTTGCAGTGCTGTTTCTTGGAGTTTGTGGGAAGATGGGGCACAGTAAAATTTTGACCTTATCTGAAAAAGAGAAAAAAAATCTGCAGGTTTTGCTAGTAGGATATTTCCAGTGGGGCTTAGGTACTGCTATCTCACTGAGTTAGGGACTGCCAGGTGCTTAGCGTAAGATTTGCCTTTGAGTAAGCAGGGCTGGTGAAGGATAAGGCAGGCAGCATCCCTAACTCATGTTCCACTGATTTACAATTGAGGCCTCTGGGGAGAAAAAGACATTTGAACTCCCCAGATTCTAGATCTGATTGGGGAGCAGGAAGCAGAGCACACTGCAGGACAAATAATGGGGAATCCTGCTCACACTGCAGGTTTCAGTAATCTTTGTGGGTTGATAGGATGGTCATGAGCCTTGACAAAAATGATGCGCGCATGTGCATGTGTGTGTGCGTGGTGGGGAGGGGAGAATGAAAGCAGGATGCCTCATAGAGCGAGCTACCCATGGCTTTCTCCTCTGGCTGTACCCTACAGCAGTGATGGTGGACCTTTTTAGAGTTTTCAGTGATACGACAGCCCACTGCATGCCATAGGTTCCCCATCACTGCCCTGCAGGGACATTCTTTCTCTTTCTGGCTTGAAGACAGACTATTCAGTTTTCATGACTCTTGAAATGTTCTTAATATCACAAAACAAAACAAAACAAAACAAAACAAAACACAAAACAAACCCCTTAGGCCTGTAGTTGGAGATTTAGCCTTCGAGGTACCTCTGAGCTTTTGTCTGCCCAGGGACCACCTTGAAGATACATATATCTCACACCTCCCCACTCCCTGGGGGGTTCTTGCAACACTGCCATCTGTCTATATCATGTGTGTAAATCCACCCCCACTTCCTTGTTCTCTTCCTCAGCCACCAAGCCCCCCACCCCTTGCTTCTCCTTGCAGCTTTCTGGTCATTTCTTCTGTTTCCACTGCTGCTTGCACTGCCTGGGAGAGTGGAGCTCCTGGGGTTCTGTCCTGGCCTCCCATCTAGACTTGCTCCAGGAATTCTCTGTGCTTCTGAACATTCCAAATTTTGATCTAGCCAGATCTCTGAGCTCCAGAGTTGAAGAGACAGCTGCATAGGTGAGTGACATATAATACATCCAAAACCAGTCTCCTATAACCCCCATTTCTTTGCTCTTACTCTTAGTTGGGTCCCAAGATCTAACTGCTCAGTTTTCCCCACATCTTATTTTTAACCTGTCAACAAATCCTACAGCTCTGTCTACCAAAATGTCTAGAATCAAACCCCCTACTACCTTCCTTATTTATGGCTTCAACCTGGACCCAGGCTGCTATGATCTTCTGCCAAGGAAATTGAAAGTCTCCTAACGCGAGGTTGCTCCCTGGGCCCTAGCAGATATTGTAGAAAGCCCACCAGTTCTTAAAGAGCTATCTCATGTGCTCCTTTAACTCCAGGCCTGTATATAGCATTACAAAGGTGTTTTCTGAATGGGGCAAGTAGTAAAATCTTTTGGTTAACTTTAGGAATACATTTTGAAAGGGTTTTGCTGTGTGGTTGAAATTTTATTTCCCAAGTAATAAATGTAGTTTATGTACTCTATGTATCATCCAATTTTGTGTGTGTGTATATATATATAGTAACTCTATATTGATAGAATTGTGGCACTGCTAAAAGAAGTATGAAATATAAATGAACTGTATTTTAAGAATGGGGGAGAGACCCCCTCGACCCTCTGGGGTCTGGCATTCTCTCTGGGGTCTGGCATTCTTTCTGCCAGACACGTGGTGTGGGGGCATATATGTAGCTTAGGTTTGGGGTGGTGCCTAAGGGGCATTAGTGATGTACAGGTAGCCCATAGGTATTCATTTTGCGCCAGAGGCAAATTCCCAGGGTTGGGGAAGAAGGAGCCCCTTGGTTCTGCCTCCAAGGCTTTACTGGCTACAGTGTCCTGTCTGGGCCAAAATTCTTTCATATATAACTATATATAAATACATATATAACTTTTAAGAACTGCTTTACAAATTTCCCTACTATTAAAAGGCACTTAGTACATGGTTAGAATAATCAGCTAGGCTGAAAGTAAATGCATTTTATAGACTATAACTTAATTCAATATGCATTTGATCAGAAATAGTTAAAATATTTCTGAAGAATCTGAGTCACTATTCTTTGAATATCAGAGTAAATGCAGTGTTCCTGAAGGTCACAGTCAACTATAAAAAAACCCAATTAATAATAGAAAAAGAATAAAGTAACTTAAAAACCATAACAACATTTTAACAAAAGTCAGTTATTTTGAGTTGAAAAGGGAAACTGTAAATTGGGAGGCATTTAAATAATGTCAATGTGCATTTGTTAACTTCAAGGTGAGTGAATGCAGGAATCTGTTACCTGACTATGTAAGGCAGTCATGGCTTTTGCATGCAGAAACCTTCTGAGCTATCTCAGTTTTTTCAATCAATATTGCTCCATGCCACAAATGTATTCCAATTAATCTGTGCAAAAAGTTCCTTTTGGTGAATATTGCATTTTTGAAGCATAAAGGAATTTTAAGTATAAGAGGGTTTCCTGGAAAGACTGGAGATAGCCTGGATGAGAAAACATACTGTTATTGACTCTTCCATACCCATTTCTCTCAAGAAATGTTACAAGAAAGTTACACATACAACTTATAGTTAAACAGATGAACATTATGTTTTTGTGCTCTGTTTTGACGTATTCTGGGCACAAAGTTCATCTGAAGGATATCTATATGTCTTCTCTCTGTCTTGGGGTAAATTTTTATATTCTTATTTACAAAGACTTGAATCAAGTCTTTATCAGCAGATAGATTCTTCAGAGACACGGCATATATATCAAAGTTACTTGAAAATTTTCAGTGTTTATCTCACTAGCTGACATAGTAGGAATACTCGGTATGGTTTTTAATGAATAAATAAATGTACAGATATGATAATATCCACTGGTTTCAATATGTTTATTTTCCTTTCTGTAAATTAAAGACTTAGCACCTGCTTTCCCCTACTGTGTCTGGGAAGGGACTTTAGAAGAGGAAGAACCGTGAAAACTAAATGCCTACGTGGATGTGTTCATGACCTCTGTGGATT